AATGACGGAAGCTCAACTTCGATAGGCAGAATAGCCTCCATCCCATAAACCAAAGAATATGGAGTTGCTCCAGTAGAAGTTCGAATTGAAGTCTGGTAGCCCCACAGAGCAAATGGCAACTTATCTGGCCAGTCCCGATAGGTTTCCACCATCTTCTACAGAATGTGCTTAATGTTCTTGTTGGCGGCCTCAACTGCTCCGTTGGTCTGCAGCCGATATGTGGATGACTTATGAAAATCCACGTTATACTTCTCCAACAAGTCGACCACTTCCTTCTTGAAGTGGGAACCATTATCTGAAATGATCTCATTCGGAACCCCATAGCGGCAGATGATGTTGTTCCTGATGAACTTGGCGACATGCGAAGCCTTCAACACTGCATAAGATTGGGCCTCAACCCACTTCGTGAAGTAGTCTATCGCTACCAGAATGTACTCATGCCCATTGGAACCTTTCGGAGTGACAGCCCCAATCACATCAATCCCCCATACTGAAAATGGCCATGGCGAAGTCATGTTGTACAGCTTTGACGGCGGGATGTTCATATGGTTGGCGTGGATCTGACACTTGTGGCATCGTCGGACAAAACCAATACAATCCTCCTCCATGGTAGACCAATAATAACCCTATCTAAGGATCTTCCGGGCTAGCATCACCCCGTTCATGTGCGCTCCACACTCTCCTCCATGGATGGCCTCCATCAGGAGCTTGGATTCTTCAGCATCAACACACAGCTTATGCATCCTAAGATGACCTCTCTTGTACAGTTTACCTTCCCAGACGATGAACTGAGCAGCCATTCTTCTAATTGCCCTCTTATCTTTGGCATTTGCCCCTGGTGGATATGTTTCCTTCTCCAAGAAGTTCCAAACGTCGTAATACCAAGGATTCTCATCTTGTACTTCATCTATGGGGGCGATCAGCTCGTAGGCTGGCACAAGTTTCTGTTCGATGATGATCAGACGCATCTGGACTCCAAAAGGGATGTCTATCGTGGAAGATAGAGCTGTTAATGAATCTGCGAACCTGTTGTTTTCTCTTAACAGATGAGCGAAATTCAGTTTCTCAAACTGAGGAATCAACACATCCAAGGTCTGGTGATAAATTCTCATCTTTTCTTCTTTGACTTTCCAATCTCCTTTAGCTTGAGATACAGCAAGGTTCGAGTCCCCAACGACATCCAACCGTTTTGCCCCTAGTACTAGGGCAGCTTTTAAACCGACAATACATGCCTCATACTTTGCTTCATTGTTTGATACTTTGAATCGGAGTTTGAAGGCTAAAGGCATGCGAGAATTGTCGGGTGCTATCAGCAACACCCCTATCCCATACCCATATTGGTTTGACACTCCGTCAAAGTACATCGTCCAAGTTTCATCTTCGACATGCAGAATGGCTTCGTCTGGGAATAGGTACTCAACTGCTTCATCCCCTTCAACTGGGTGATCGGCTAGGAATTCCACTACCGCTCTCCTTTTTACTGACTTGCGTGTCACGTACTTCAGATCAAATTCGGAGAGCAGAAGCAACCAACGGGCTCGCCTACCCATAAGTGCCAGTTTCTCGAGGAGATATTTGATGGGATCTAATCTCGAAACCAGTATTACAGAGTGAGCTAACAGGTAGTGCCGCAGCTTCCTGGTAGCTCATACCAAGGCCAAACAAGCCTTCTCCAGCGAAGTGTAACGGGTTTCGTACTCCAGCATTTTCTTGCTCAGATAGTAGATAGCCCTCTCCACTTTGTCCTCAGACTCCTGCGTGAGCATACAGCCCATTGTAGTTTCAGTCACTGAAAGGTACAGAATCAACGGTTTTCTCGGCTCAAGCGGTGACAACACAGGTGGGTTCTGTAAATATTGTTTGATCTGTTCAAAAGCAGCTTTGCATCGGCCGTCCCATTGGAATTTCTTTCCTTTCTTCAGGAGACAAATAGTGGTTCACGAGTCAAGGTTAATTTAGAAATAAACCAGCTTATGAATTGCACTTTACCCAGAAAGCCTCGCACCTCTTTTTCAGTCCTTGGTGGTGGCATTTCTAAGATGGCCTTGATTTTGGAAGGGTCGACCTCGATGCCCCTTTGTGTGATCAAGAACCCCAGTATTTTCCCTGCTGTAACACCGAATATACACTTCTGAGGATTCAGCCGCAGCCAATACTCCATGATCCGTTGGAAGAACTTTTGCAAGGCGGTGTAGTGGCCTTCTTTTTCCTTGGACTTGACAATCATGTCGTCCACGTACACCTCCACCTCTTTATGGATCATGTCGTGCAATATTGTAGTTACAGCCCGTTGATATGTAGCCCCAGCATTCTTCAGCCCAAATGGCATTACCCTATAACAATAGGTTCCCCCACAGGGTGGTAAAAGCAGTCTTCTCCCGGTCTTTGAGTGCCATCAATATCTGATTGTAGCCAGAAAACCCATCCATGAATGAGAGCAACGCATGCCCTGCAGTAAAGTCCACTAACTCATCGATATGTGGCAGAGGAAAATCGTCCTTCAGACTGGCTTTATTCAAATCCTTGAAGTCCACACATACCCGAATCTTGCCGTCCTTCTTCGGCACTGGAACTATATTGGCCAACCAAGTTGGGTATTCTGATACCAGCAAGAACCCTGCGCCAATTTGCTTCGTGACCTCTTCTTTGATCTTGAGAGCCAAGTCTGGGCAGATTCTTCTGAGCTTCTGCTTAACAGGTCGGGCCTCTGGGTCAAGAGGGATCCGGTGTTGTACAATCTCAGGATCGATTCTAGGCATGTCTTCGTAGGACCACGCGAAAACATCTTTGAAATCTTTTAACAAAGCGACTAAGCGCTCGCGCTCCTCCGAAGACAACGTGGACCCGATCTAGACCAGCTGCAGGTCCTTCTCAGTATCAACATTAATTTGGATGATTCATCAACCAAGGGTTTTACAAACCTCTCCTGCTCTTGATCAAGCAAATATTGCAAAATCGTAGGAATTTCTTCCTCGTCGTTTTCATCAAAATTTTGAAAATCCTGATTAATGCAATAAATTAATGGCACAGAAAAGTATTCGAAGGCCACAGCCGCACAATTCTCATTAAGTACTTCCAAGTCGCCCTATTCCTCTATTACAACAGACTCAAAGGAAAAAGAAAAAGATGACCTATACAGGACTGTGGCATTCGGGTTATCACCCCCAAGAATACCGGACTCGGACTCAGACGAGCTGGAACCTGATTCCGACTCTACGGACTCAGTGGAATCAGATTTCGGCTCACTACCTGACCCGATCCTGCTCGATAAGAATCCTTCCTCATATTTCCAGATAAGGAATGGTGCGATGGATGCATCTAGAATGTTTGAAGATGGGCTCGCAGCCGTTTCATTCCCGATCATGGACACCGAGAATTTATTCCCCAAGAACTCATGTACGATCGGAGGATTTGAAAGTAGACAAGACAGTGCTATCCCCATTTCAATCTCTGTTCTCTCGAAATCCTCCTCCCTACACTGCTCAACTTCAGCTGGTAGGTCTATCTGCTCCTCAGCAACATCATCCCCAGACAATTGCAAATCAAAGAATATCTCAAAGCCCAGCAGGCGCCTTCTCTCAGCATTCAGCCATGGCTCTAGAAAGCCGTTGAATGGAAAGTCCTCCCCCTCCCGGACAAAACGTCCGTTCAGGGTACCTTGGTTAGGCCGGTGCACCAACTCATAACGTTTCCCGGTCTGCTTTGCTCTGGCCCTTCTGGCCATCTCTTTGCCTTTCCTCACCCAGTCCTCTTTGGTAGGCAGATAACCTAAACCAAAGGTATATGGGTTATGCGGCACTTCGGCCAATGCTGCAACGCCTTTTCGGCCACTTTTTCCTAATCCCATCTCGGGGATGTGCTGGAGTTTGTTCATGAGGTACACTAATTATGCACTGACATACACCCCCTCATTAATAGCCAGTATGTTCTGTACAACCCGAGCCTCGGCTAGGGTAAATCCTGACAGAAACACATCCTCCGCGCCATGTTCGATCTCTAGAACCGGCGTAGACACCTCCGGCAGCGGATAGATTGAAGAGTTCCCAAAAACTAAAGCCACCCCCTTCCCGTGGGAGTACTTCAACATCTGATGTATGGTGGAAGAGACCGCCTTCACCTGGTGCAGCCATTGCCGCCCTAGGAGTAGATTGAAGGTCACGGGAACGTCCAAGACATGGAAGTCAATATCGTGTTGTCCTGGACCAACCTTGGTCTAAATCTACACAATCCCTATCACTTCTCTGCTAGTGTTATCATATGCCCGAATCACCTGGGCAGTGGGTATGAAGTCCACGGGCTTCAACTCGATTGCATATGCCATCCTCGATGGACATACGTTGATGGCGGATCCTGTATCGACAAGAACTACTGGTATCCATTTGTCTCTACACTCCACAGAGATGTAGAGTGGTTTGTTATGGTTTGAGCCCTCAGGTGGCAACTCCTTATCAGTGAAGGTTAACATCGGGGAAACTCCTCCCGAAAAAACCAATCCCACTAGCTGTTCAGGCGTGGTATCGATCGAAAGTTTAGCCCTGTCCATTGCAGAGAGGACAGCCTGTCTATGAAATCTTGAAGCCATAAGCAGTCCCCAAATGGAGATGTCTGCTTGTATCTTCTTAAGCTGTTTCAACACAGCCTCGTCTTCGAGTAACTTTTCCTTCTGCCTTTCTGCCTCCTTGTCCTTTCCGGACGCCTCTGGCTGATCTAGGTGTGGGGGCTTAAAATACCGCCCACTCCTGGTCATGTGATCCACCTCTCCGATATACCAGGTATCATCCGATTGGTTGTTCCCCCAATCTTCGTTTGTGTGCAAAAGACATAGGTCATCATCTTCCCACCACATGCCATCGGCCATCAACAAGCAGCTATCTGGTTTTGTCACAATTGTTCTTGTGCAAATAGCACATTACATTCCCGTGCTCACAGCACATTCTGTCCTCACAGGGGCTTTGGCCTTTCTAGCCCTCTCCAAATCTTCGATCTTTTCCTGCTCAAACTGTTTCAGTGCAGCCTGCTGGTCAGCATCTTTTGTTCTCAAACTGTTCTGATCCTGAGCAAAATTCTTATCACTGGTGCTCTCCAGCGGTTGCTCTTGATTCCCGGCCATTCCGGCCATCATTGTTGTCCCCTTTTCTGACGGTTCTTGCTCTAACTGATGTACCTCAACAACATTCGGCTCGTCGCTGAGCCATCCGATAGCTTCCGCTGACCCTTCCAGATCGAACCAGTTGATAGTCACGTCTCCCGTGTCCTGTTCATTAAAGAATTGAAGGTTGGCTATGTCCTCTTCCAATTCTGCTAGGTCATCTAGCCATTGATTAGGTCCATCCTCCCTAACTACACTAATCTCTGCCTCCACTGGCAATTCTACCCTTGGCTTAGGCTGGCCTGTTGGTGTGATGTAACCACTCGGGTTGTACATAAAGCTTGCAGACCCCTCAGGCTCTGAATCATCATTCCTTTCCGCTTCTAAAATAATCCCTGTCCTATCTTCGATAGTCACCACCACTGATTCTGGTTGGGTTTGGAAGGTGCTCAGCATGCACAAATATGTGCTTTCCGAAATGAACACCTCCAGCTTAGGTAGGTGAGAGGGTATGATATATATGCTAGGGTTGTATGACATAACCCCAGTTTGGATTAGGTTAATGCGTTTGGGAGGTGGAGCTTGGTTATGTGGTGGGAGAGGATTGGTTGTGACGTTCGGCTTCTCTAGGGGCATAATCACCCTGTTGTCGATGAGATCATAAATCTCATGACGCAATTGAAAGCACTGGTCGGTTTCGTGACCATGTTGTTGGTGATAGGCGCAGTACTTTGCCGGGTTATGGATAGGAGGAAGTTTTTCTGGCAAGGGCCGCTGCTCTAGAGGCTTCAAGTGCCCTTTCTTGATCAAAACCCCCAAAGATTTGGATAAGGGCATGTATAGTGGGGTGAAGGTTCTTTGGCCTCTGGGCGCATATCTGGTTGTTTGCGAGCTACTTCCGGACATACCAATAAAGGCTGTAGCTGCAAGGGTTTTGGGAGGGGTGGTGGTGACCGTTCCCACATCTGAAGATCTGGCAGTTGCTGCACTGCTTGTGCCTGCATTCGTACTGCGGTTGAATGCCCTCCCGGGCTGCTCTTTTTCATAGTCAATCAGACCTTGTTTCATTGCGTCCTCGATCTGCACCCTAATCTCATGCAAGTCTGCATAGGTGGGGGAGGGGGAGAACAATCATCTTGTGCATGAGCTTGGGCTGGAGGTTACGCATGACCATCTGAATCTGATCTTTGTCAACGGGTCTGATGGTCATCATCGAGGCTTTAGCCCTCCAGCAGGTCACAAAATCGGAGAAGCTCTCCTTTGGTTCTTGCCTGGTGGTCTCGAGATCACGAGTTGTGACCTCGATCTGAGTGTTATAGGAGTATTGAGCTATGAAGGCCTCAGACATCTCCTCCCAACTTTTTTTAACGGAGTCCTCTAGTCTTGCATATGAAATGGCCGCTATACCTGACAGGGTCCGGCCAAACAGGGAAAGCTTCTACAATCTGGAGAGGCCCATCGGCCTCAAGATGTTTGAAAACAACCGCAAGTGCACCATAGGATCTCCAGACCCATCGAAACGGTCTATGTGTGGCATTTTAAACCAGTCTGGCAGAGTCACGGCCGAGTCGGTATATCCATCCTCTATATCTGGAATGGATTTCACACCTTGAGACTTCATGAAAAGCTTTTCTAGCTTGCTCACTTTTAACACCGTTGGATCCGCCTCAAACTCAAACGGTGAATCAACTAGATTGGTGGGTGCTTTAGATAGCTGGGGTAGCATTGGGGGCAGTGCTGGCCCTGTTGGAATGTCCTTACTTTCCTGGACATTTGGCGTCTCCCCAAGTATTGGAACCCTGGGTGGGGGAGGAGGTGTGTGCGAAGTAGATGCTCCGGTTTGCTGCTGTAGTCTGGCAATTAACTCTGCCTATTGGGTTACTACTTCTGCAGCCACTTCTGCCTGACGGGCAGCATCGTGCTGCATGGCCTTCATACTTTCCTGGAGCTGACGCATCATCTCTTCCAAACCTGCCATATTGTCTTGACCTAACTGAACAACCTGTATATCTGACTCTGCAGTTGAAACTGAGACCTCAGCCTGACTGTTCAAGGACCGCTGATTTGATAACCTCTGTACTGATACACTGCACCTTCTTGACCTCTGCCTAGCAACTGGGGGTAAAGAAAGAAACACTGATTGTCCGTCTATCAGATCCCTGGATCGATTAAGTCTTCGACCTCTAACCCAGAGTGCTCGGGGGATATATGCCTGGTCGAATGCAATTGTGCTAAACTACCTTGCAAAAACACAAATAAAGCATAATAAATAAATAAACAAGCAACCTGAACGTGCAGTGTGCTATGTTACGAGCTAGATAAATTAAAGACAACACACAATTGGCATGACAACACGCGGTTGGTACTTGTAAGTTGAATACTCTGTTCTCAAATGCTATTTACTATGCCCAAATGGCTGCCCCAAATCTGATATCCTTGGATAAAACTGATTCCCAAACACTGATACCCTCAGGCCTGATACCCAGGCTTGCAAACTGATACACACAACCCTGTAGAGACACACTCTGACAGCAAATATCATACAAGTGAGAGCCAAAACACCCCTATGTTGGGGTAGGATTTCCCTGTCCTATTTTGTCAGGAGCTAGGGTTTCACTACGCACGCAGCGGTTTCAAACAACCTATAATCGAGTAAGTAACCTGTCCTAGTTTGGAATAGTCACTATGGATTCTGATATGCACTAGGTCGAATGGTCAAAAGGGTGCCCCGGTAAAAATCGAGGATTGTGTTCCTATCATGGCAGAGCCCGTAACCGGTCAACCTTATAGCCTACAGCCTCAGGTAGATCGTTTAGGAATAGCAGACGGTGAACACGGTGTCCTAGGCGCACCAATGCAAATGCAATGCAAAGAAACACATAAGTGTACTCAAAACAAGATATCATGAGTTCGAGTCAAGCTCTCTAAATCCCCAGCAAAGTCGCCAGAAACTATGGACGCGTCCCGAACGTCATGGCCCCGTGAGCGAAAGGCGCGAGAGTCCGTTTTGTTCATTAGGCTTACCACAGTTCGGACTCAAATGTCACGGTTCTGAATCTAATCTCACAATGTGCAATGTGAGACCAATAAATCACCAAAGAGTCCAAATCCGACAAATCGTTTTGAAAATTTGATTTTTGTAAAGAAGTGCCAAACATGGACTGCTTTGCCAGATACAGAGTCGCCACCTAAATATTTTATTTGGAGGAATTTAGGAAACCCTGACTCGTGCCTAAGGCCACGTGTTCGTCATCACCAAAGTTGCCTCAGCTCGGGAACTTGGACACGATTGGGGAAGGTCATATAATGAGCACCCCCGCTCACCCGATCAAAGATCGGCCTGTACTAAGCATGATATTTTGTTTTTGAAAACACATGTGCTCTTATTCCGGTTAATTAGCTAATCTTCCTATGTGATGCGCACAGCATACAAGTATAGACTAAATCGCCTAATTTGGAACAAAACATTGCATGTTCATTTTGTTGAAAATGGTTTGAAGTTTGCTACTCGCAAGTACGCTAAAACGAGGATTTTGATGAATTGTTCCAATTCAAGTAATCCAACCTTCACCCACAAGCATTCAAGCAGTTATATCAAATAAGCAATTAGCCTCATGGCAAGCATGCTTTCATGGCAACATTAACACACATGCAGTATGCTAAAGCGTAAACACTCACAGTGTACTCCGAGCCAAAACAAAGAGAACTAGTTAGAAATCATGCATGATCCTAGTTCATGTTAAGATGGCTAATGCAACACATGCGAAAATGCATCTAAAATAGGTTCGGCTATTCTAGAATGTCATGTGAAATGCAACTTGATACATGTATTCAAATAGGTATTGAAATACAATGCAGTTAGTATGATGCGCCAAGCCCGATGCGTGCAATACAGATGAATGGATACACGCATGCAAGCATAAGGATGCTAAATGAAACATGCCCTAAAACTAACCATCGTAAGCAGTTAAGTAAAAGGGAGAAAGAAATGGGGGTTGGAAGATATGCATCACACACACGCACACTTATTACAACAACAGGCCCTCTCGACAGAGGGACCGAATAAGAAGCTAACTAGATAATCTAAGCTAATTAAACTAATTATTACAAAACAAATTGAAATAGCTAAATACATTAACTATTAAAGTACAAAACAAAACCATATTTAGGAGAGCGGATGACCCTCTCCTATTTAGGACCCCAAAACCACCCTTCCACCACTAAAAATCCTCTGGATTTCAGTGGTAGAAAGGTCATGCAAAGGCTTCAACAAGAGCCTAAAGGGATGGCTCAAAATAAGGCCTAACAAGGCCTAAGAGGGAGTAAACCACCCCAAACGAAAAAGTGACCTTAAACAAAGATCTTAAGCACACAAAAATAGAACTTTTTCCAGTTATGAGTTAAGCTTAAAACAATATACAAGAAGGCTCAAAAGCTTAAGCAATAATGGGGGTTTTAAGGATTAGAAACTCACCCATGAAGACCTTCCTTACAACTGCAACTCCAGCAAGTTCTTTGAGCTTAAACCAATCCAAGAACACCAAAAACAACCCCTTAGCACCTCAGCAACCCAAGGATGGTGTTTGAGTGTGTGTTTGTGTGTTAAACTAAGACAAAACTACACTTTTGAAGCACAAAAATGAAGCAACAAGGAGATATAGATACAAGACTATATGTATCACTCCAAGGTGATTTTTCTGACCCTAGAGGAAGGAGGAGATGGTTCTCTCTTATAAAGGACCAAAAGAAAAACTTCTTGAGGAAGCTAAGGTTCAAGGCAATCCCTCCGTACATGTGCATAGAGGATAGTTTCAGTGCCCTCCAACAGTGTCAACTGGAGGAAAATATCTCCAAAAAGGTGGCAAAAAGCAGCCGACCACCAGCTACTTCAAGTGGTCGACCGACCACCACAAGTGGTCTCCCAAGACAACAAGTGGTCGGCCATGGTGGGAGATGGTCAGCACACTGAAACAAGCCAGGGGTGGGGTGGCCGACCAGAAAAGGTGGCCCAAAGACCAAGAAAACCAGTTGTCAGATCAGAAAATTGGCTAGCAGGAAGAAAAGTGGTCTCCCACCCTTGTACCACTTTCTAAACAAGGAAAACAAGGTTTGTACCAAAAACAAACCAAAACGGATGCAAGACGAAAGGTCAGGAGGCAAAACGCGCAACTGGGAGCCTCGAAAACTAGCTGACAAGCACCAAAAGCGGTTTAAGACCACAAAGTGGTCTCCCAAACCACAGTGGCCCTCTAAGCCAAGGAAACAAGGTGTGGTTCAAAAACCACGCCAAACGGAGAACGTTAGGCGGTCTCGAGACAAGGCACGCGGCCGAAGAC